TTTTTTTTTTTTTTTTTTAACTGACTACTGAGTATGCTTTTGCTGCTGCTTTGCTTTATGGCTGCGTTGATTGTGAATCAGAATTCCAGCATTGTTCAATGAGGATCCGAGAGGTGCATGGCATCTGTACGGGATTTCGTCATCATCAACTTCATCATGAACGGCACGTGGGTGGATGATGCATCCTGGCCGTGACTGGGCTATGGTAGATTTTTTTTGATTTTTTTTTTTTTTCTTCTTGTTGGAGTCAGTCGTCTTCTCTCTCGTGATTTTGTTATTCCATGATTGTATGGTTTATATGATTTTGGTGGTGGGCCTCAAGCTTCTGATCTTGTGATTAATCGGCCAACAAAATTGCTCTTTTTGTGATTCTATGGAGATGGTCAGACCTGATATGATGATGTATCTTAATGTTCATCGTACCTGGTCATTCTCTCTCTCATGCCTCTCTACCTTCTGCTCCCTATGACACTATAGGCGAGAGAACGACCTCCGAGGAGGAGGAGGAGGAGGAGGAGGAAGGAGGTGGTGGAGGGTGTGCACCCAGCTAGAACCAACGATTAGGAGGAGGAGGAGGAGGAGGAGGAGGAGTAATGCAGATCAAAGACTAGGTAGGGGAAGGAAGGGGTGCATGGAGATTTCAATCACGGAGAAGGAGCTGGATGGAGATCTAAGATTAGGAGTAGTAGTAAGAGGAGGAGTAGGAGGAGGAGGAGGAGGAGGAGGAGGCGTATTGGGATCGAGGCCATTAGGAGGAGGAGGTGGTGGTGGATGAAGAGACACGACTAGGAGAAGGAGGAGGAGCAGGTGCAGGAAGATGAACGACTAGGAGAAGGAGGAGGCGTATTGGGATCGCGGCCATTAGGAGGAGGAGGAGGAGGTGCGTGGAGATCCAGGAGTAGTGGTAGGAGGTGGAGGTGGTGGATGAGGAGAAAAAGGAGTCTCATTGGGATCGCGGCCATTAGGAGGATGAGGAGGTCGATGAGGAGACACGATCAGGAGCAGGAGGTGGATTAGGAGAAGGAGGTGCATGCAGATCAAACGTCCTAGGAGAAGGAGGAGGTGCTCAACGATCAACGGTTAGCAAGCCCCCTCAGCAGGTTTGACGGGTGTGCGGCTCGTACCCGAGGGTGCAGAGGACTTTGAAGACAAGTTGTTGTGGTCGTTGTTGGAGTAGGAGGAGGAGGAGGAGGAGGAGGAGACTACGACGTTGAAGACAAGGTAGACGAGGAGGGGGGGGGGTTGGAGCAAGGAGCAAGGAGCAGGATCAGGAGGAGGAGGAGGAGGAGCAGGAGGGCGAGGAGAAGCAGGGGGCGGGGGAGCTGACGTGTGCAGCGTCGGGATCCCGACATGACGACAAGCAGGCGATACACACGCAGGAGCGCGGCCGCCGCTGCGGCCGCCGCCGGTCTTAGCCCCTCAGCGACGGAGATTGATGTTGACGTAGCCGCTAAGCTGCAGGATATGGCGGAAGCGTACTTCAGTGACACGAACTTGCAGCATGACAAGGCGCTGAGGGAGAAGATAAAGGGGGATGAGGAGGGGTATGTGCCTCTCTCCCTGGTGTGCTCCCTGCCTCACATCAACACCTTGCTGTCGATCCCGTCGTCGGGGGAGACGGCCAGCGTGCCGCCTGGGACCATCTCGTCGATGGCTGAGGTCCTACAGAAATCCCCCAGCTTGACCCTCAGTCCCGACCGAATGAAGATCAAGCGATCCCAACCGTTCGCTGAGATGGGAGATACCGACCACCGGAGTTTGATAGCAGATCCCTTCCCGTGGAACGTGAAGGCGAACGAGGTGAAGGAGTTCTTCTCCCAGTTTGGTAGTGTGAAAGGCGTGCGGCTGCGCCGATACAAGGGGATTTTCCCGGGCTCTGTCTTCGTGGAGTTCTCGTCAGAAGAGGAGATGGAGAGAGTGGTGAAGATGAGCCTCGAGTTCCAAGGGGCGCAGCTGGATATGGAGAGCAAACCTCAGTTCCTGGAGAGGATGAAGAAGGCGGCCAAGGAAGAAGAAGCGATGGCGGAAGCCGACAGGAAGACGACACGTGGCGCAGTTGAGATCGATGACAGCCAAGTGAAGAAAGAAGAAGAAGGAGAAGGGGAAGGGGATGGTTTGGCGGCGGGAGAGGGAGAGGGAGAGGGGGAGGAAGGCGGCGTTGGCGTTGGGGGAGGAGGAGGAGGAGGAGGAGGGGAAGAGGAGGATCGCAAACGAGGCTATAGGGTCGGGCTGGTGCTAGAGGTGCGGCTGCGAAAGGGGGAGGATGGCCTGAATGAGGAAATGGACAAGAAGAAGATGGAAGTAGTGGATAAGGTTGAAAAAGTTCAGGAGAGAGAGGAGCAGGAGGAGGAGGTGGTGGTGGATCCCGTGAGCAAACGCAGACGAATTGGCGACATGGAGACGGGAGGAGGAGGAGGAGGAGGAGGAGCAGGGGGAGGAGGTGGTGCCGTCATCGTTAAACACGGCGGAGTGGAAAATGGAGAAGGGGTGTGTGAAATTGCCCAGGCAGTGGAGGAGGGAAAGGATGACGTCAACGTTAAACACGTGGAGGAGGAGGTGATTGCGAACTACAGCTGTAATTCTGAGCAGCAGGTCGATGGCAAGAGCGAAAAGGTTGACATCAACATCAACCCCGCCGAGGAGGGAAAGGTTGAAATCAACATCAAACCCGCCGAGGAGGAGGAAGAGATCGTAGGGAACAGTGTGCAGGAAGGAGTTACGGAGGAAAAGTGTGACGTCAACGTTAAACACGTGGGGGAAGACAAAGAAGAAGAGGGGAACAAGGGGGAGGAGGAGGAGGAGAGCAAACCGGATGTTGAACAGAGAGAGGAGAAGGAGGAGGAGGAGAAGGAGGAGGAGGAGGAGGAGGAGGAGAAGGAGGAGGAGGAGGAGGAGGAGCAGAGCAAACCGGATGTTGGACAGAGAGAGGAGAAGGAGAAGGAGGAGAAGGTGGAGGAGGAGGAGAAGAAGAGGGAGGAGGGGAAATTGAACGCGGATGGCGATAATCTAGGTGGAAAAGAAGTAGAAATGGAGTGCAAGAATGTGGAGGAAGCAGAGGAAAACTTAGTCAGCAAATCGGACAGAGGTGGCGATGATCTAAATGAGAGAAAAGAGGAGGTTATGCACATGGAAGAGAGAGAGAAAGGATTGAACATCACCTCCTCCATCGACTCAAATGAAGAGGGACCAAAAGGGGATAAGGATGTGGAGAAGAATGTGGGTGAGGATGGGGTTAAGGATGTGGATGAACCTATGGAAGTTGAGGGCGAAAGGGAGGAAGAGAGGACAGTGAATAGACAGGAAATTCTAGAGGGCAGTATGCTGGAAGAAGAGAGCAACGAGCCAAAGGGCAGTGGGCATCCTGACACGGAAGACAACGGTACGAGAGAGGAGGAGGAAGGGAAGGAGAAGGTAGGTGGTGCTGATGTTGTTGAGGGTGTTGTGGCAATGGAGGAGTGTCATCTAGCTGAAGGTCCGCAAGACAAAGATTCCGAATTGGAGGGTGTAATAGATAGCACAAACGAAGTGCAAATGGAAGGGACAGAAGGCAGAGTGCATGAGGAGACGAGGGAGGAGGGGATGGTGGAAACCGGTGTCCAGGGCGAGGAGGAGAAGAGAGGAGAAGTTGAGGGAGAGAAGGCCATCGAGGAGGGGAAGAAGAAAGGTGTGGAGTCGGACGTGACCTGTGCTGAAGGTTCGCAGAAGAAAGCTGCGGCCTTGGATGTTGTGCTTGGTACCCCTGATGTGCAAATGGAAGGGGCCGACGGTGGCATGCATGGGGAGAAGCGTGAGGAGGAGGAGGAGGTGGTGGTGGTGAACACTGGCACCCACCGCGCGCAGGAGAAGACAGGAGAAGAAGGTAAGGGTGAGGAGGTCGTTGACGCGGAGGAGAAGAAAGCTCCTGAGCCAGCCATGGCACAAGCTGTGCCAATCGACGAGCAACAGGTGGACAAGCATCATGGGGAGAAGAGGGAGGAGGAGGAGGAGGAGGAGAAGGTGGAGAAGGTGGAAACCGGCGTCCCTGGCGAGCAGGAAAAGACGGGAGGCGAAGGTAACGGGGATCCGATCGATGCGGAGGGGAAGAAGGAAGACATGACACAGGCTGTGCCAATGGATGACCAGGAAGCTAACCAGGGGCATGATCAGAACATGGTCCAGTGTAAGGAGGGTGTAGGGGTTAATGAGGAGGAGGAGATGGGAGGGGCGGATGTAGAGAAAGGAGGAGGGAGAGAGGAGAAGCAAGAGGAAGAAGAAGGTGGTGGTACTGGGGATAATATAGAGGATTCAAACGAGAATGAGCAGGTTGGCAAGGGCAAGGAAGAGATTGGAGCAGGTGAGAGAGGGGCAAATGAGAAAGATGTAGTAAAGGAAGAAGATTTGAAAGAAGTTTTTGAGAAGTATGGTGCTGTAAAGCGTGTCGATTTTGCACCCGGCTGTCATTCTGGATACGTCCAGTTCAGTAGAAAAAGGGCAGCCGAGGCGGCGGTGGAGGCATCGAAGCGTGTGGATCGGGGTGAATTCAAAGTCAAAGATAAATTCCTCACCGTACGATTGCTACAAGGCGAGGAGGAGAGGGAGTATTGGGAGAAAGTAGTTGGGCATTTCAAAGGTAGAAAAAGTGACGGCCAGAAGACCCCCACCAAATCAGCACGAGGAAGGGGGCGGCAAAGAGGAGGTGGCAAACGCTGACCCGTGGAAGAGCGGCAAACAGCCGAGACTGCCATGTATACGAAGTTATCTGTATAATTTTTCCACTCTCAGAAGAGTTGGCTGTCCAGTATTTTACAGACACACTCACACGCACGAAGAATAGCACCCACGTGTGTGTGTGTGTGTGTGTGTGTGTGTGTGTGTGTGTGTGTGTGTGTGTGTGTGTGTGTGTGTGTGTGTGTGTGTG